ACCAGATAACCAACCTTATACTCATAAACTTGGACAATAGTGCGACATTAAGTGCATTAAAACAGTTCAAGTACACAAATGAAATGTCCTTAAGGATAAAAAGCATAATTGATAAAAGTGACTTAACCATAAAATTTAAATGGGTAAAGGCCCACCACCAGAAATGCTGGAAATGAACGAGCAAATCTTCTGGCAAAGAAAGCAGTACACCTCTCGGTTATGACTTATAAGAAAATTCCAATATCTGGTATTAAAAACTTGTTAAGAAACAAAACGAACAGAGAGTGACAAGACAGATGGACATAACTCAGTTAAAGACAGACACACATTCTGGATGTTACCTAGAAGAAAGAATAAAGGAACTGAGATGACTATCAGTAGATTATATAAGCAGCCAGCTATACATTGGCCATTGCAATAGTAATGAATACTTGAGGAGAATTGGCAGAAGACAGTATGCAGCCTGCAGCTGTTGAGCAGAGGAGCAGAGCCTCAGACATCAATTCTTTGAATGTTGTAAATATGAGAGGGAAAAAATGGAACTCATACTGGTACACCAACAGAGTTACAATACACCTGAACCAAAACTCTATAATCTAATGTGACAAAAACCTCAGTAAGGAGTTAAGGATCTACACAAAGAGAATCCTAATGTAAGGGCTAAGGAGACAAGCCATCTTTTGCCCATAAACCAACAAGTTGTTGGAAATGTCATATATAAATAAGACATGACACTTGTAAATATTCCTAAGTGTTTTATATTTAATTTTACTGTGTGAGCTATCATGTAAGTTTGATTTTATTGAAGTTTAAATAAATGAAACATTCTCGATGTGGTGCATTAGCAAGACAAGGATGACTCTGATCCCTGTAAGAGGAAATGATGGCAATTAAAAAAAAATAAAAAAAAAATGTATCTCTGAATTGTCTGCATAGGCAGCTAATACCATTGTGTGTTGCGATTTTTTGCGAACAGGAACATTGATGTGCAATGTTCCTGTTCGCATTGTTGTAGTGGCCTCGTTGTGACCATGATGTATTTTCAATGCTTTCCTACTCTTTAGTCTGAAATTGGTATGGAGTAGATTCCTGGAAGTTTAAAATTTTTATTATAGATGTCCTTGTAATTTCTTAGTAGTGAGTACACCATGAAATTTCATTTGTATACTAGTCAGTTTGTTGGCTCTTGCAATTTTTTCTATCAATATGTTTTTAATGTTTTAAGATCTAAATGTGATGTTATTCATAAAAAGTTCTGAATAACTCTGTCTTTCCATAGCAAGTATGCTAATGCAGAATGTCACATATCACATTATAATTTATTACTTTGTCACAACACTATAAAATTTTAATAAAGTTTTCTTTCTTTGTTATTTGAACTATTATATAAATCAAGTAGAATAATCAAATCCATTGCAGCACTAAATTGATATTGAAAACTGTTTTGAACAATGTAGTTAATGTAGTAGTCATTTCATTAGAAGATTCATAGTCTTCTAATGAAATTTTTTAAATAGAATATTAATGTCTTCAAAATGAACAAATACATTGAAAGCATTTGAATTTTGAAATTAATGTCAACTCTGTCTTAAGTATTTAATGATTTGATCATTTGTTTAGCTTCATAAATGATTCTAATTTCAATGATTAAAGAAAATGCTGCTTAAAAAAGTAATTGTATATTTAATAAATTTAGAATAAAGGATTTGAAATACAGTGTAATACATCATTACAGTATATATTTCTACTTTACAATGCTATTCTTAAAAATTAATTATCTGCTCTTTAAGATATTTACATAGCTGAATATTCATTACTTTTATTATTCATGTGTCAGATTTTCATTATTTTTAATATGAAATTCAGGCAGCCAAATACATCTATGGTTATATCTTTAACTTATCTCAAATGTTTGATAATCATTTGTAAATTTCAGAAGGCTGAAAGTCCAAAAATAGAATAAATTGTGCACAAGTCAAATATTAGTGAAATATTGATGTTTATCTAATTGGAATAAACTAAGGTTTGATTTGCTAACAAAATATATACAGTGGAACCTCTATATTCATAATATTCAATATTCATCACATTTTGATGACTTTTTTATTTTTCCATATTTGTCGGTATTTTCTGTATTTGTCATCATTCCCAACATCAGAAGTCGCACTACAATTGCATGCCCACACCGATCAGTTAGCCATGTTAGCTAGCTGTAGTTAATCAGTCTGCTTTGTGACATCGTTGTGTGTGTTGTCAATAATCAATGCGAGAAACCAAGTTCCAATTGCTCCAAAGTGGCACCCAAATGTTGCTATAGTCAACCAAAATATAAATACATTCATTTATAATGTAATTGCCTATTTCAGAAAAGTTTTAAAAAGCAGACAAAAACACACAACACTGGACAAGTTCTTTATTAAATCGAGTGCTACTGAATCATGGCAAAACAGACCCCACAATCATAATTGGAATTGCCTAATGTTTTAATTGATATATCTTCTTCTAAACAATAATACTGTATTAATAATATTGTTCTTCCCCTTCTACCATTATACTGTATTTATTTGGTACAATAAAGATAAATTTTTACAAACAACATAATTTTTATTCTTGTACCTTGTTTTCAGAATGGGAACAGATTAATTGAATATCAGTTATTTATTATGAAAAAAATTGTTTCTATATTCGTCATATTCCATATTCATTAGATCCTTAATTAACAGATTAATGATGAATATAGAGGTTCCACTGTATCTAAAAGCTTATTTTTGAGCCAAAACTAAGCTAATTTTAATTACCATAATTAAATTACAGAATTTGGTATAAAGATAGGTTAAGCTGCTACTTTGTGTCAAGATTAATAATTTATAATTATTAATCTTAATTGATTAATTATTAAAATTCAAAATTAATTTAATACAACCTGGTTGCTTAAATTAATCACCTATCTGTCAATTCTATAATTTAATTAATTAAAATTAGTTTAATTCTAGTTCAAAAATAATCTAGCTTTGAGATATATGTTTATCTAATTAAGAAAACTATCTCAATATTTTACAGCTGATACACCTATCACATTTGATTTCACATGTTTAACTATCATGACATCATTGTATTATATATCAGCAAATAAAATTGCAGGATATTCAATTCCATTAACTTGCAATCTCATGCTATTCTACAAATGTGTAATTAAAGTCTTGATTCTTTCATTAACAATTTAAAGATAAACTTTTTGATGCATCCTAAGTCAACAATATAGTAAAATTTTCATTTAATCACCTGAATTTCTTATGAAAAATAATGAAAATACCTGCTCAATTGAATGCTTTATAAGACATTCAGATGCTTCCAATTAATTGTCTCAATCAATCTGTACCTACTTATTTTTCTGCAAAGAAATCTGCAAAAAATATAAATAATAGTACAATAACAAAATTAAAAAAATAGATAAGGTAGAAAAAATATGAAACATTTTTATTATTGTTAAGAATATTTATGTACAGTACATAAAAACAAATTTATTAATTTTAATAAATGCGAATATTTAAAACAATTCCAATTAAATTAATGTTTCATTTTAACAAAATTGTTGAGAATTTAAATAAATATAAAAAGTCAATTGATAAAGATTTCTAGTATTTATTTTAAAATATGTAATACTTAAATATGAGATAACAGAAATGATAATCAACACAAATCTTTCATATTATTTCTGGATATCAGATTACTAACTTAAAAATTGAAAATTTAACAGGTGTTAAAAAGAAAAAATTTGTATATAATAATATTGCTTTCATATAAAAATTATCAACTGTACTATTTTCATTCCATTCATCTAAAAAATATTACAGTATTGAAAGCTTAATAGAATTCATAAAAAAATTAAACTGTAGAAAATATGAAAGCATTTTATGTTCTCAAAATTAATTTCTTAAATTTCCTACTAAACCTATAATGTTACTTCATTCAATTAAATGTATTAATTAATATACATGTAATTGAATAAAGATTCTATTAAAACGTGAACGTCGAACGTCAAGCACCACTATCTTGTAAGCGGAACATAACATTCAACGTTCACGTTTAAGAGATGAAAACTTCAGCCACAGCCTCACTAATAATATTAAAAACAATAAAGAAAATTATTCAGAAAGTGGAAAAAATTAAAAATATATATTAATATAAAAATATGAACGTAATTAGATAAATATGTAAATAAAAACATTACATAAATGTAATCAAACTTCATATATGTATATGAATTAATTTATTGAACCCATTAACTGTTTAAATGATAAATTAAAACTAAAAAGATCACAATAGTAAAAAAAAAATTCCGTAATGAAAAACTAAAGAAAAACAAAATGAATGAATGAAATATGATGAAATAAGCAAACAGATTACATAAAATATAAAAATAAAAGTATAAAATTTTATATAAATAACACAAAATGACATTATACTACAAAAAGTAGTAAACAAAGTTTAAATGAATAAATCTGCAAAAAACATAAAATAAAAAAATTTATTTGCAAAATTAATTTCTTATAAACTTATATAATTAATTTATTTAGTAAAATTGAAGTTAATCACAGGATAAAATTCTAAATAGGAAACATTATGTTATTGATATGATTTAATCGTCAATACATCCCATTTTATATCAATAATTTTTTATATATATTTATTATATAACATTATACAATTGATCTTACTTTCTGCTTTTAAAAATTGACTAAATGAGCAATAAGAAAGTCATTTTTTTCCTTAATTATTCCTTATTTGTATATGTAACTTCAAAACAACCTACACTTACCCATCAAAGTATATTAATTTCACATTACACTTTCTTTATTATATTATTATAAATAAAGCACTCGTCCTTACATTTTTAGTGGATGAAGTATTTATTTATCATCATGGAAAAGATCAAATTAATTAATTGAGAATGATGTGATGATTATAACTTAACTACAGTAGACGCAAAATCGACTTACCATTAAACAACTCATCCAATAATTTAGAAAAATCTTTGATTTTTTTATAATTTTATTACGTTTCCTTTAAATAACTAGTTTATCTGAATGTTAATAATCATTCGATTTTAATAATATTTGCTCTTTAAGACATTTTGTTTTGGTTTCTCCTAATGAATGTGAGTGATGATCTGACGGGTGTACACGATGATGACGGATAATCTCGACCCCTTTCTGTCGTCTGTGGGATGCATTAGAACAACATAGAAAAAGTCTCGTGTTCTGAAATGTCCCGGTGAAATTTATTAATAAATATCTTTTTTGAAAGATAATTAATAATATTTTGTATATGTTTTATAATAAAATATAACATTTAATTAATATTTTAATGATTTCTTTTAAGGAACGAACTGTCTACTCTACTCTAAATGAAACTAATACGGAAGTTTCAAATCGCTGCTTTGCGAGTACTGATTAGGCTGTCTTCGAAATATTAAGGAACTCGCCAATGGCCGAGTAGATAAAATTATTGAACACTGGTCGTGGGTTCACGCCTCGCCAATGGGCTGACCACATGGTTTTTTCCGGGTTTTCTTCACGTTTCTAACACCAAATATTTTCCCGTAGGAAATACTGCGGAGGGATAAATAAATAAATCATCTAGGCGTCTTTCATTTGTGGTTATTTACTGTAATTATGTTTTAGCAAAATATTAAATCTTACCCAACTGAAGAATAATGGAAGCGAAATTTCGATGGATTTGCTAGCTGGACGTTTGTCCTCTAGCGCAATCAACACAGGAGAAAACGCCGAATATACCCAACCAAACATCGATATTTAGATGTGCTTGTGGCACGCGCTTGCCTTTTGTATATCCCGCCATTAATTTGTTTTTCCTAGGAAAATTTTATTCGCAAGAAATATCATGCTACACGAAGACATTCAATGGCTGCGTTCAGCAGATTCAACAGTTCCGGAGCTGTTGTATATTTTTCTGCTGAACACTTTCTACAGTAGCGCTGTTTTGTTTTGGAACATGTTTGGTGTTTGACGTCATATACAGTAGCGTCATTCATTTACGCTACCTATCGCTAGTTGCAACTGACCAGTGATGGTATTTCCGGTTCCAACGCATACGTCAATCATCGTTCAGCAGATGTAACTACGTAACAGCTACCGAGTGAAACATCTTTGCTCGGTTACAACTGTCGACTCTGCTGAACGTAGCCAATGTTTAACAACCATTTGATCTGCTCATTCAAGCGTTAACATTTCATTCGGCATATCTCAACAAAACGAAACAACATAAGAGACTGCTTTCACACAAATCCAACCCGTCAAATGTAAAGATTTCAAAACTTTAAATTGGCGGATGAAGGGGTTCTGGTACCTTAAGAATTTACAGAAATTGTAGAGGAGAAGGTGGTATTATGGAACCCCAATTACATTTTAGTGAATTGTAAACAAGGTATCATAGCTACACTCACATTTTTTGTGCGAAAAGTACTGGTAACTAGTAAACTAAATGTTCCTAATTGAATTTTTCGCTAGTGTAATTATAAGTATGGTTTTTGAAGGCTTTTGTACAAAAAGTCCGAAAGTAGGCTTAGAGAAAATCGGGTGGTAATATGGAACCTTACTGTATATTTTCAAAAAAATGCTTTAATATAGCCAAAAACAAATAGGAAAGGACAAAAAATGTTAAATAATTACAAAATTGTTTACTCCAATGTATTTTATCGCAAAAATGCTTTTATAATAGAAAAATATGACCTCCATCAACAATATATATTCCAGCAGCTTTTTTTCTATATTCTCGGGAAGAATTGACTTTCTACCTAGTGTCTTTTTCCCAAATTGCTCCGGATGAATGTCTGATTGCAAAGAGAGAGTTGGGAAGAGTTGAGTTCCATATTACTGTAAAAGCACCAATGGGGTACATATTTTACGCATCGCCATCTTGAATTAACTTATGTCTGTCAAGACCAAAATTTAAAAAAACGTGAACATCACACAGATTAATATGTACCCCTAAGTCTCTGGAACGGAATATATGCACCAGTGAACCTACAACTACGCGATTTATATTTTAAAAATAATTAAATTCGCTTAGCATTCAAAACTTGCGAATTTTGAAAAAAACAAATTTGCTGATTAAATGCGGACAACTGTTTAACTGAAGTAAAACGGGTTTTCCCCTTGCTATGGATGTCTGTCTAGTTCAGTTCAGCCACATTCCGCTGCAGTTCGCCTTTATTATCAGTTCTAAATGGGGTGGTTCCATAATACCCGCAGTGTTCCATAATACCACCTTCTCTATTAACTAATGTATTCGATTATGTTAAGAAGCTTATTATGAAAATCTACAGTGCTTTTCAATAGAAATGGCTAAATTATTTCTTTGAATTTTCCTATGTAGAATTAAAATTGCATTGAAAAGTTGACTTTGAAAGCCGAAAATTCATTTTCTAAAAATTTAGAACTTTATTAGAAACATTACTAATAGCCGTCGCTGTGTGCGAGTGTGTTAATTCTTTATAAATCCTGCAATTTTTCTCCAAACCCGATAAAATTTTGGTTATATTCGTTTGATGTTCTGAAAGAAAGTATAGGCCATTTATTTTGCGAAAATGTTAGCTATAGAATAAACGTTTTATCGATTTCGGATCAATGATCGCACTTACATTGCAGTGACGTCGGTGACCACGTGACGTTCATGCTCAACGAGAAAATTTTTAAGTTGCATTTTTTAAAATTATGGTAAAATGGCGTATTTTAAACTTACTTCATTAAATTTTTAAAAAGATAACTGCATCGTATCAGTTCTGTAACAAATTAAAAAAGAAAAAAAAATCTTTTCATAGTAACCACATGACGTTCTATTATCCAATCGGAAGTAACGATCTAACGAGCCCGTTATTTAGAAAGAAGCGTTATCGCTCATCTAACTAACGTACAGTACACCACATATAATTCATTTTTGTTTTATCAACGTGGAATTAAAAAGACTCGCTATTTTGTCGGAAAAAATGTCTAGGAGAAAGCGTAAGAGTAAAATTGGTTAGGTAAATTCTAGATCTAAAAGAATAAGAACCGAGACTCCTGAAACAATGAAGTCCGACTTGAGCAACATCGAATAAGAATGGCTTTGTTTAGGGCTGCAGAAACATCACGACGTCGAGCTCGAATATAAACTACTTAATTTGTAGAAATATTAGCAATTCTTCTTGAATTTCATGAAATCTCTACTTTTCTCAATTCTTCAATCCTACTTTCTCATAAAAAGTGTTCCGTCATGCTTGACCGGAGAATTTCTAGTACCTAAATAGAAGCCTGTTTCACGTAAAAAAATCCTCTCAGGAGGCATCCTCCCATCGTAGATCGCATACGTGTTGCACGTATGCGATCTACGATCTGCGTTGCATATCTCATCAAAACAAAACTTTATTGACCACTTTGTGGTCAATAAAGAAATTAACTATACTAGTTTGAAAAGAAATTAACTATAAATTAAAATAAAATACAGTATAAATAAAATAATAAAGAAATCAACTATACTAGTTTGAAAAAAATGCAATTGTATAAACCGCAACGGTCTAATGATCAAGACTGTTAAGTCGTCAGTCCACCGTTCAGGGAAACTCGAAATCGAATTCGGGAACAACCTGAGAGTAGTTCATGAACACTGGCTTAATCCAGAAGCCAGAGTGAATATGGGCATCGAAAAAAGTCTTGTTAGTACCTACAGGACAGAAAGAGTTCTTTCCATACAAAGAGTATTGACATACAACTCTTTCCATACAATGGACTGACACTAAGAGGACTTTTGCCCAGGACTATTGTGGGTTCGATCAGGCTCACAGCAGGAGGCCAGATGATGAGGGACAGGAGGGCCTAACACATCTGGGACAAACCGCCTATAAAAAGTTTCTGGGAATTTGAGCAGATCTAATTTTGTTCTTTGTCCATTTGTGGCTGGGTGTCCCGGTGCTATTAAGCTTTGACGGATTGAACAAAAATGCTCGCATGGAATACCAGCTAATTCCAAAAAAACATGTGTAAAATGCTTCGGAATGACGAGTGGCATTTCTTCAGCCTCCACTAACAACACTCCATGAGTTTCAAAATGCACTTGTCCATGAATGCAATGTTCCTGACAGATATGATAACCAACAATATGATCGACATGAACAATCGCTGTTTAACTTGTGTGCCTACAGGAGGCATTCAGTTACGGTTAGTATCTCTTTACTACATTTATCAGTTACAACAGTAAATACAAAAACTAATCAGTAACAGGTGTTAAGCCCCAATAGACCTAAGTCTGTTAGGCGAGGTTGTCGGGTAAAGGCACAGACATTGATTGAGGACTTTACAATTGTGGTATATTTTAAACAATAAAATTTAATCATGAATACATACAGACAAAATTTAATCTATTCTAACAACATGGGAGGAACTTAAATACATTAGAACTTCCAGGGAGAAGGATTGAAGAATTTACTTAAATATAAATAACATAGTAATCCACGTACCGACAAAATACTAATCTTGGGATGTTCTTTGAAGTTTCCTGTATTTGTATTTCTACTTATTTCTTGGACCATTGACGTATTTTCACCGATGGATTCGGATTCCGTTCACTCCTTAATTGAAAGTCCACACGTGTCGTTTTCTTTCTTCTTTGTCCTTGCACCACATAGTCTATTCTTATCTCACGACAAGCCAGGGCCGAAGGGAAAACCAAAAAGTTCTCTTCTGGACGGGAGTCCAAACATTTATATCCCCCGCCATTGAGTGTGACGTGATGTCAGACGCTGACCAATCAGCAAGGGCGACGGGTTCTACCCGTCGCAATTTGATATCAAGAAAGAAAACGAAATTTTACAATAAAACCCGATATATATATATATATATACATAAATAACGGAAACAACTATACAATAGTGCTTATGCACTACACAGGTGTTCAGTTCAGTAACCCTTTTTTTTTCGGCTCTTTTATATGTAACAGAGGGAAATTATGGCAATCGGTCAAAAATGATCCCTCA